GATAAGGCTTATGTAAATTATTAAAATATCCAAGAAATAAATGTTGCCTTAAAATTCTATTCTACTAAAAACAGAGTAAGATATATTTGCATAATTATCATGCAATTGCTGGAAGCGTATTTATGATGCGATGTGTCCGCAAGTAGTAAGTTCCGCGATCTAGTCAGACTGTCTGACAACGAATGAAACATCTCCTACATTTGCAATGTATTGATCTGAATTAATCTAAGTACATATTTATCTCTTTCACTCTCTCTCTCTCTCTCAAGTTTAGAGAGAGAGAGATAGAGAGAGATAGAGAGAAATAAATTTATATTTGCATCTAAAGCTAAACATAATCAGTAATATCAATGGTATCGTCATATATCAAGAATATCAATAGTAACCAGATATATTTTGTTTTTATCTGAAAGAGAAAAAAGAAAAAATCTACGAGACAGAACAATTATTTGAAACGCGATATTTTATTTTCGTAAACATGTTGAAACAAATGATTAAGATAATCTGCGCGAGACGCACACTAATGTACCGAGATTCTCAAGGTGAGTCTTCACTTAAGCGCGAGAAAATGAGACGCGAATCTGTCGTAATTAAGAACCAACGCGTGCGTAGGAAGATGGAGGAAACGATTAAGGGATATATAGGTCCAGGAGCACGGAGGCTGTGGGTGTCGCGTCGGCCGACTGGAAGTTTAACGAACTCGAACAAAGAGAAAGAGCCTTCAAGTAACGGGGGACGAGGATTGACGAATGGGGTGCTGGCGCTAGCTCTGCCTCCGCCAGGCTAGAGCGGAGGGTGCGTACATTTTCCCTCTCTCTCTCTCTCTCTCTCTTTCTCTCTCTTCTTCTTTTCTCCCCTTCGCCCCCTTTCTCTCGTCCTCTCTCTCGCTCTCTCTGCCTCAGCCATCACGGAATAGCGGTGAGCCCCCGTGTATTACGAGTCAGCCACCCCCATAACACTACCCCTTGGTGCTGTATCGATCCATCGCAGTGCCGGCTTCGAGCTCTCCCTCCACAGCGCCGAAGTCTCCGGCGCTGTGCGACGCGACGCTTCGCGTGGCGGGATTGCTTGAACAAAGGAAACGGCGATGTGTCGTGGAACCTTGGCAGTGTTTCTTTGTTTTGGCAACGCTTACCGGGACCTGCGAGAAGTAGCATTGTGACATAGAGTGATTTGATGAACAATTCTCCCGTCATTTTTTACGTTTTTTCCCTTTTTTATTCCTGAAATTATATTAAATTGATTAAATTATTGCATGCTGAGTGCTTTTTCAGTGATTATTATATTAATTATTTTGGGCCAAAGAAAATCTGAGGGTATCATCATCGAGAAAGATAATATTTAACTGTTATACTATTTTGTTTCCAACAGAGTTAGCTTAAGTGTTAGTCTTTTTCTATTAAGATAATATTTGCTCAAATATAATTGATAAGCAAAAATGTGGGATCAAACAAGATTGCGCTTAAAGACTTTTAAAAATGTACCTTTTTTTTTTAAGAAGGAGAGAGAGATTGTTGAATTCAATTATATAAATAGTAGAAATCTCTAAACAACAAGAGATAGTAACAAGATTTTAATGAAATTGTATTATTACAAAAGTACAATATATATAAATTTTATGTTCTATATTACATATAATTGGAGCAGATAAAGGCTCATTTAGCAATACATAAATAGACATTTAATTTACACATAGTTCACAATGACGTTATCCAAGCTTCGACTTTAATATTTCCATCTCGAGTAGTCTAGATATATGCTAACGAATTTCGACGAACTTTTGGATTCAATTCAAAGTATACAGCTACGATTTCCATTCTGTTCAAATATTAAAGAGTCTCTCCATCGCGGTACGAATAAAGAGACCGCCGAGTAGACAGACGCGCACTTTGCTTAATCTGCTTTGTTTGGCGTCGTCAAGGAAGTTTTGCGGTTTGTTCTCGGATCCTGCAGAGAAAAGATAGCTAGCTTATTCTATATATATATATTTATTTATTTGAATCCGAAAAATCAATTGTATATTACGTAATATTAACCTTTTAAATCAAAATTACACTTTAAGACACAGAAAAAACGATGGAACTTCGAAAATGCATATAAAAGAACGTCTCTAAAAAATTAAATATTTTTTCGTTGTCTAGATATTTTTTGCTGCGCAAATTTTGCCAATGCATATATTAATGTTGAGGCTTTAAGCAGAACGAATGATCGCATTTGACTGCGGCCTTTTGGATAACATGTTAAATACAATGCGAGCGCGATACGAAATATAAGCGTAGATTATCTCGCGCTCGACCTGACGTTTTGTCGGAACAAGACAAATGGATCCTTTTAGAACATTGACTACCGGCAACGTACTTGCCAACCGCCACTCCGCTGGCGAAATTGTTTTGTAAGCTTAAAGCGCCGGCCAGAGGATGTTTTGTTCGGTTCAGCGACTCGAGCAATTCCCTTGTTCCGCGTCTCTCGCTGCAGAAACCCGTCGCTGCATGCGGTACTTCCGCTTGAATCCTGCGATCTAACATTCGTTAGAAAGGGCGCTCGTTAAGCATTAAGCAAAATTAACCCAGTTCTGACGTCACGTGAGTCGAAGCGTGAAGGGCAAGGGGTTGTAATGTATAAAAATGAGCCGTCGTAACGTGAAAAAGTCTCTTTAATATCAGAGAGTTTTTATGTAACGTCGATACAAATATTGAATTAAAAATAAAATTAAAAATAAAATAATTCTAATAATTTTCACACAAATACTCCTCTCCAAAATTTTTCACCCGATAATTTTTTCATTAATTTTATTTATAGAAGTTTATATATACTGCGATGTGCGGTAATTGCGTCGCATGTTTATATTTTATACAAGATTTATATTTTTATACTTTTTATCGATGTTTACACAAAGGCTCGCTTTATTCTTAAAAATGGTAGTGGAATTCCATTTTATTTGATTTTATTCATATTACTTTTTTTAATAATGTTTCGAGAGAAAGAGATGTACATATGTATATTAATCGTTATCGAGGATTTTCAAATAATCCGAATGAACGGCAATATCTTCTTGTCGTGTCAATAACATTGGTCAAATAGCGACATGATTCCGATATTTTTATATCAGTCTTTGGTTACACACGCGGCATTATATATCGAAAAGAGGAAAGAAGGAGAAAAGGGGCGATCAGTGGCGGACGAAAGCATTATTCACAAAGGGACGTGGCAGTAGTATATCCAGGAGATACCATTCGCCTTAGCAGATCCATTAAAGCACCCTCGTCGAGCTTAAATCACCTTTCCTTGCATAGAAGAGAACGGACACTTTTATCTCATCTCGCTTAATTAAATGTCTCGAATTTCTGACAAAATGTCCAGCGGCATGATTAGTCGAACGTCGGATTACGTGACGAATTCGCGTGTAATTTCGAGAGAAACAACGGGCAGAAATTTCAAACGAGAAATTCCTCGTTAGACGCTCGCCTCCTTTTTACGCCTCGAAGCGCCGCGCGCAAATAGCGTTACACGTCTCATTAAACGAACAGACCGCCTCTGCTCTAAACGCATTATCTATGTGGCACAATTAACTACGGATCAGCGATTAGAGATGGCAGTCTGGGGATGGCGATATTCTGGTGAAAGAACCTTTCGCCTTACTTAATTTTATCACGCCTTTAATGGAAATAATAATTGTTTCGCCGCGTACATCACTCAAAATACATTTCTCCCGATTATTTTTGGAATCAATTATAATTTGGACTTCTTATAAAGTCAGGGATATTTTCGTGAAAATCAATTTATATTTATATATATAAATTCATTCGTCTTCAGAAAGAGATCTTATGATTAAATTGCCATTTAAGAGAGCATTCGTTAAAATTTGCGACCACTGAAAGAAATTATATTATTTTAATATTTTCAATAAACTTATATAAATATAAATTAATGTAATGTAAATAAATTAATAAGTAATGCATATAAATTAATAATATAAATTATATATATGCAATTATTAGAATATTATAATTCAAGAATGAGATTATCGCGACTTTCCTTGCGTGATATTGATCACAATGCGTACCATTTGAAAGGTCTTTCTTACGCCATCGGCGGTGCACTCGTCCTTTTTACATATTTTCTCTTTCTCTAGGCAAGGGAGCACGCTTGTATTTTCTCTCGTTACGTAATACGCGCCTCGGAATACGATTCCACCTGATAATGAGCAGGCATCGGGCATACGATCGCCCGAAGCGTGAATCGCAAGGATGTAACGCGTATTTCTGCATAACGACGGTACGATACATAAAAGGGGGAAGGGAACCTCTCCTCGCTCGAGCGATGAGCGCGGCAAATCACTTGCTTCCTGCTGCGCTCGAACGAGAAAGTTCATTCCTTCGTCGTCTTTGTATTCCCCAATACTATGCATCGCGGCGTTTACAACGTCGGAAAAATAGCGAGTGTCGACTTCACTCGGCTCTGAAATTCAAGCTTTTTTTTTCTTTTTTCTTCTTTTAATGAATATTTTTTGCATGAATCGCGAAGTGGCGGTTTCAAAGATTTCTATTAGCGAATGAATAAAACGCAATCGTCAAGCCCGTGTATTGTACGATAAATTGCTCTGTCCTGAAAATCTATTTCCACGTTTATCAAAATGTTAAAAATAGAGCCTTGCGTTTTGCGATATTTCGCACGCGATTTTGTAGCGGATCGATTATATGGATTTGTCTTATCTCGCACGTAGAGTGACTAATGCATTACGTGTCCCAGAATTAATGCCTCTCTGTTTGATTTTTCTATTTGCCATGCAACTTTGAAATTGAAAGGAAATGAAAATTACAGTAATGGTGACATTATTAGTATAGAATCATATCGCGTGTTATGATAAATGAACTGTAAAGTGTGGCCCATATGATGGAACACGGCCTCTTGCGTGCCACATACTCTACATGCGTTTCCGCGGCGATAAGATTGATAAGATGTCAAATAGTGGGATTGCGGCCCGAGCTCGTTTACGCCCAAAGTATCAGCGCGTTCAGTGATAACTCTCGGTTAAACGTGTCGACACGCAAACTGTCTCGTGCCATTTAATAGTTATTCATTGTAGCGTGATATCGTGGCAGCGAACTTCGTTTAAGAAATAACAATGCCTGGTAAGCAATGACATTGAATAGCGTAAAATTGAGATTTAGAAATAAGCAGGTGAAAGTATAGCGATTGAGTCACGTAGGTTTATTTTATTTCGATTATAGAGTACCATTAAGAAAGTTAAAAAAAAAAGAGGAAAAACCATATCAATCTATCACATCACGATATATTACTTGCTGAAATTATATAAATATGCATTATATAATAATTATCTAAGTGTGATAATTTCTCGAATATTTGTTAATTTGCTGTTTTAAAAAAAATTATATATAATAATTTTTTGTAGCTTTCTCCCTCTACATCTCTTTGTTACTTTCTCATTATTAAAAGAAGTATATGAGGAAAGTGCAGTTTATCGATAAGTGATTTGATAAGCGCTCCGATAAATCATCGATTGAAATTTCGATATCTTGACCGTGCGATTTCGTGGAAGCAGACGGTTATTCGACGATATCTGTCGCAGGTTACAAATGGACGAGATGGCCGGCGCCCTACGCCGATTCTCGCATGTTGATCTCCATCGGCAGGGATATGGACGGCATGAATCTCGTCGTAGGGCGTGCCATGCATCAGGGTGATATGCTACCGGCGAAAGTAAAACCGGATCATGGCGTTGCCTATGTATCCTACGGAGGTGCCGAGTACACGAAACACGACTTCGAGGTATACGATCCGTCGCGAGATAAACCGCGAGATTCGATCAACTGTTCCTTAATTGATTAAATTAAACATCGAATTTTGCGAGAATTCCAGGGCCAGATGTCATCGGCACGCGAGTTTCTATCGTAATTACGCGAAACGAGCCGAATATGCATGTAATCATGTACGTTATTTCGACAGTCGCGGTAATTTTAATCGAATTTGCGATTGTGTAACGCACGGTTCCTTTCTATCTTTTCAGTGGGCAGTGTCGGTTTCATAACCTACCGTTCCCCTTTGCTTGTTAATAAGCGAATTAAAGAGCTCGTGCAAAATCTCACGTAACATCCGCCGCTATCTCTAGATCCTCGGCGAATTTCGTTTCGATGGAGATAAGATTATGAATGTATGACGTATGTTATTCGCGGATATTTGCTCAGCGATATCCCAGAAATGATCGAACATGCTTTTATTACTCCGATAAAATTCTTCTTTTCTCTCTCTCTCTCTTTCTTTGTCTGTTTTATGTTTTATCCTTTATATCTTCCGTCATTCGACGAAAATTCGTAGTGGATCTGGGACATGTTGCGTATGAACGAATCGATGCGGATAATTTTATTTCGTCGATTGACAACGGCTATTACGATAGCGGAACGAAACGTTGTCTTTCATCAAAATAGCAAGGATAACTTGGAGGATACAACATGGGATATCGCTCGGTATTGATCGGCGGGATATTCGACGCGGTGCCGAAGTATTATATATCCCTTCGATTCGACATTAGACGAACCCTCTGTTTGCCGTGACAGCGCACACTCGATCGCGCTCACCCGAGGAATCACTTTCTTCTGGTTCAGTTTACACGTACCCACATACATACGTACGAAAAACGGTCACGGATCGCCCGCGGGTTAATCTATTTGCCACGACTGGAATTGTCGAAAGAGGGAAGCGCGAAGTATGTCGGCTTCCGTTGGCCGAAGAATCCAGCGTGGTCTACAAGGAAATATAATACGAAATATACTCGCATCTTAGGTGCTGATGCCCGCCCATTTCAATTGGATTCGATCGGGTCACGGTCACGTACCGGAACACGCGGTGGAAGCTGGGAGGACCACCAGCGGAGAGATGCTGTACGTCGGCCGTACTTTTCACAACGGTATACCGTGCGTAGGAAAGGTATGATCTCCGTTCGAAGAACCGGAACGATTGCTCGATCTGCCGAGTCGACGTTATTAATTCGGAAGCGAAAATGTTATTTATTTACGCGAGTGAAAATCAAGCATCTTTCATCTGTTTGGCAGGTTCAGAGAAGTCACGGGGTCATGTACATCCCGTTTGATGGGAAGGAAATACCGTGCAGGGAATACGAAGTCTTGGTACAATGTTAAATTTTATTTACGATCGCGTTTACAAATACGACGAGGTACTTTCACTTAAAACTATTAGGATCATTATTAAAGAATGAATTATCTATTAATTGCGAAAATCCCTTTATATAAAGAGATTCCAAAGTTTTATATTGTATTAATAGAAGACAGATGCGGAACATTCTATTCAATTTAATTTCATTCTATTCAAACATTCTATTCAATTATATAGAGCGTTTTTCAGCAAGCGACACAGAAAACACAGTGTATCATTCCATCCTTGTTGGTTGTAAACAAGGATGAAATGATTCACTGTGTTACACTGTGTCCTCTGGATCGTTTGCTGAAAAACGACCATACAGTTATTTTTTTTTCTTTTATTTATACATATGTATGTGTAATACGCATGTAATAATATTTTATATCCTTTCGAGACAAGATAATAAACAATCGCGCGAGTGGCGTATCTTAAATCGTATCGTCGCGTCAATTTATGGAGGCTATCGTGAGTTAAAGTTAGATTAAAATTTTAGCAAAGTTGAGACGAGACTGAGAATTGCGTTCTTATCTACCCTCGTTTAACTTCTATTAGTATGCAGAGAGAAAAGTAATTTATCCATCGTTAAATTAATGCGGAAGAAAAGCACATAACAAAACGTTATGCGACTAATAGCGTTGCTCGTATTTCTTTTTTGTAATCTGGATCGTAATTATGATGCGTTATATATAGCCTAATCGCAATTTATCACGTTACTCGATTTTTTCGATTTTAATTGGAAAAATTAAAGTGGACAAATGATCCACTGCCATGTAAAAGTATGAATCAGAAAAATATCATGAATTTCTTCGAATTTTATAAGAGATCATTTGTTATTTTTCACGCATGTAATTACGTTCTGTTTTCAATGGAAAGATAAGCCGTCAACGTTCATTTAATCTATAGATAAGATATTAATGATAAAAACTTGACTGAACAAAAAGATAGAGAGTAAATTAAAAAAAAATTCTAATCCAAAGAAATAACAAAAAAAAATTATTTGTTACAACGCTATATTGAAATTATAGAATAAAATATAAGAAAATATAGAATAAAAAAATATAAAATAAAATATAGAAAATATAGAATAAAAAAATATAGAATAAAATGTAGAATAAAATATAAGAGGACAGCTCAAACTTAGTTTATTAAAAGTGTTAATGTAAAAGAAAATTGTATTAACGATGCAAAAATAATATGCAATTGTCGCCGATGAAAATTATTTGCATCTTAATATTAAAATAATAAAAAATAGCTATTTGCATATGAAATATTTTATTTATTATTCTATTATAATAAAATATAAATCTTTTTATTAGAATATTAAAACGGCGAGATGTTTTCATCGTACACCCCGTATAAATATTATAAAGCCGCTCAACTCAATTTTACCTTGTTACGTTAATTTAATCGCGTAAGTATACACAATGTGGCTCTTTGTTTTGTCATCATCGGGGATTCAATTTTCATGCTCCTCGGCTAAGGAACGATCTTTCGAAAAGTAAATCCCGTATGCAAATAAATATTGCCGATTACGAGGGGTGGATAAGCCTAGAAGAAATGAGCTGCTTTGCTGCGATGCAACCAGTGGTCGTTTTCCACCGGTACACCCGATAGGTAGTTGGCACGTGGCCGTTGCGGCATTATATTCCCATGGTTGGCACGTGGCCGTCCATCTCCACCTTCTGCGTCTTCATCCCCCTGTTCTCTCCCCTCTGCTCTCACCTCTATTGTTCCGGGTCTCGGAGCGGAATCGTCAAGGGGGGGTGCACTATTTAATATTTTGATCGAGGAAAAGCGCGTATGTACGTGAACAGAGGATAGGGGACATGTAGAGGGAGAGGAGGGAGAGGAGTGAGGCTTGCCCACGTGCGACCGATCGTCCCCTTTTGATTAATTTCGGCTTGGATCGACTGGCACGAACGAGGATGACGTTCGACAAAGGAGACCCGGGGGCGAGCACGAGCGCGCGAGGAGAGACAAAAAGAAAAAAAAATGGCAACAGCTGGCAACGAGACCAGAATCGGCGGACAATGCCGCCTAGGCCGAGGGACGAGAGAGCATCCCTCTCGTCGCCGCCCCTCTTCTCGAGGGGTTGATCGAGTCGATCGACACGCGCGTGATCATCCTTGCGTAGTATACGCGTTACGCGGTAATCGATGATGGAGGATGCACGGAAGGGGAGCGACGTTATTATATGGGCGAATATCGGTCGGAGAAAATTTCCAACGATAAAACGCATGATATGGAACGTTCATTTATTATTTTTTTCTCGAAATCCCGCGAACGTATTTCTCTCAATAATGATCACTGGACTCCACCTTCTTTCCCCGCAAAAAATCGAAATCGTTGAATCTCGCATATTTAACTATGAGTGTGATGGGGACTTTACGGAATGTCTATACGGATTTTATAAACATCAATAAAATGTGCTCCCCTGCACTTCACGAGATAAAAAGAGACCGCCAAGTTTATTTTTTTACGTTATCGAGTGATTTATGTGATATCGGGTGGGAGAGAGGAGATTCACTCATTCTCTTCTCTCTAAGCGTTTGTGCATGTAAAATGAAAGACTTGACTCTCCGATCACGTTTTCACGTTCATCTGCAATTTTCATCGAAGCTTCTTTCGCGGGTATCTTTTTTTCCTTTTCCTTTTTTGCTCATGTATCTGCGGCGTAGACAACATTGTTAGCGTCCGATATACCAACTCGATAAATCCGCGCTTATTGCGATTTATATCAAATTATTTCGTATCGATCGTTACATGATAACAAGAAAATATTCGTTATAAAAATGCAAAACTTGTCATATTGTTTTTTTTAAATATTTTTCTCGCATGTATTTGTGCGACATATAAATTTAAAACATTTTTAAAATTTACGATATTTTTTCTAACTTGAATTAAATTGGAGCAAACATGACTTATTAATCTATTATATGACAAAAATAAATCACACCATTATATATTTAATTTTCATAAATCGGTCGTCTCGAAAAATCAGATTTTTAATGGCTAATATAAAGTAAAGCTTTATTGCATACATTTGACATAACTCATTTACGTTGATCTTTATGCATCGAATGCATAGTTGCAAATGCAATTATTTTATTTAGATGAATCTGCTTTCTGGAAACAGTCGGATTCCCGATTGAATATACCCATATGGCGTCCGATATGGCAACTAGAACCAGAATCGGAGATTCAAGTCCGAGAGCGATGAGAGAGAGAGAGAGAACAGCTGTTCTCCCCGCTGCTTGAGAGAGCGTTGCAGCTGCTGTTTCGTACTTTTCAGATCCATCAAATGCACAAGCCTAAACGAACGATATGCATCATATCATTCCGCAATTGCAACTTGTTCGCAACACATAAATAACAATATAAATAATAAAGCGTTATTTTATTGGATGGAGAAATTAAAGAAATTCTCTCTTAATTTTGATGTTTTTTCGAATGCCCATAATTCCTGACGAGTGCTTACGAATTTATTTAAAAAACATATTTTGTTTCTTATTTTATCATTACAATCAGCAATACACTTCATTTATTGTGCGGAAAATCAATAATCTCTGATTCAGTCTTTTTATAAAATATAGAACGCAAGAGAGAACAATTTCTTTCATTTTTTACAATTTCATCAACAAATACACAAAATAAATTGATGTATAATATTTAAAGATAATATATTTTTGTACAGAATAAATATAATATTTAAAAATAATATATTTAAAGATTGCATACGAAAAGTAGTTTGAAATAAAAGCGCGATAGATTAAATTATCGATTTAAATTTAATCATTTTGAATTCACGCATATATTTTGTATTCCTTTGAATAGATAAAATCATCTCTTCGAAAAATCTTGATTAATGATTAGCTCTAGAAGCGCGTTTCATCGTTCCCCAGTTAATATAGTTACATGGCACTACCGATACTAATTACTTTATAAATTAAACGAAAAATACAGAACATGCATCCCTTATTTATAGCCTTATCGAACCACCTAGGCAAACGACAGCTCGTTTTCGCATGTTTAACATATTCGCGCCCAATGAACAACTTAGATTCGCTCTCGATTATTGCTCTCCTTTCTCAAAAGCAATAATTACCAACTTGACAGCTGTACCAACAGGTTAGCATTTCGAACGCTGAGGAAAGGGGCAGAATACGGGGCGAAGGGAGGCTTCTGCGTCGGTTACGGGGGTTGGGTGGTCCTTGCACCGATTCCGCGAGTTCCCCCTTTCTCTCCCTCTCCCTCCCCTCTCTCTCTCTCTCTTCCCGCTCGTGCTGCTTTTCCCTGTTTGTAGTTGCAGCTGCGTCGCACGCGGGCCCATCGCCATCTGCCATTAGAGGCTGCACGCGTGCACGCGTGTTGCGTTGGGCCCCCCAGCCACGTAATGGCCTCATAACAATAATAAGAAGTGTGCTAAGGTTTCGATTGCTCGCGACGACGGTTTTTCCTTTCAACCCCCTATGAGCGACTCGGAATTATAAAGCAATACGAAACAAACGACTGCACGCAAGATTACAGTCGCGATTCGCCTTTCTGGTCATTTATTTAAAGCAAAGAGAAGCAACGATAAGTATGCGATTGTATAAGTAAAGTAGAAAAAATTTTTTGGGATGCCAATCACGTTTATTAATTGATCGAAGAAAAGACGAAAAAGTATTAGCGATTTTATTAAACAAATTACTGTAATAAAATTCTTTAGACTTCTTTCATAAATGCTGCTTGAAATTTGATGTACATACATGACACAAATGTAGTTGATGAGTAACGTATATAATAATAGTATTATATGTACAACTTTATGCAAATATATGCCAGCGACAAAATCCACTAAATCGCCCTCAGCGTATTCTCGCATTTCGATCTCGTAGGAGGAGCCGTACACAAATTAGCATGACCAAGAGCGAATAGAGAGGGCGCGAACACGAGGCAGGGGGACGATACACGCGACATAAGGGATGCAACAATGGTCGCAGCGACTATTTTTGCGTTCGCAGCGCATGGGCGGTTTCATAAAAAAAAAAGCTCCGTACCAGCCGTGCAATAACAAAAACCGGATTTACAAAGAGCTCGCGTTTTTTTTATATCATGGATATGCTATTCAATATGAGGCACTGAACAGAGCAGATGTAGAAGTAGAAACTATTATAACATTACTGCAGCCAATGCTAGTGGAACAAGGAAGAGAAGCCGAAGAGGGGAAAGTTGAGTGATTCGCGGCGATTAATTCGCGATAAATCAAACGCTAATTGATTGAAAAATGACAAAACAAATATGTTACCTTATTCGAACAAAAATGCACGTCGATATCTATTCCTAGGAGAAATTTTGATTGATTGTTTTGCACGATATAAAATATACGTGCGATATAAATGTATTACTTCATTTGAAATATTGTTTTATTCATGTCAGAAGTGAACACTTGAGCTGAAAAGCGTCGCCTGCCGCAGTCTTTTTTTTTTGTAACCGCTTGTATAT